GCCCCAAAGGGGCGGTCGGAGGTGTGTAAATACATGTCGTGTAACAACGGAGGACCAGACGCATCTGGGGGCGAAGAAGCTTAACGTACGGACACCAGGTCCCCACGGACGCAACAGAGCAGGCGTATAGTAGAAGGGCACGAAGCCCGGTAAGCTGTGTCATGGACCACGCAAGCGCCGATAACCTAACAAAATGCATATGCCTGACCAAACTCGAGCACCGCGCCGCGGTCAGTCCGTTGACTCGTTAGAAACACTGTTTAAGGGGAATCGAACCCCCAAGATACTCCCACCAAAACAGTCCTCGTTCACCGCAGAGGCAAAGTGGCGTGCGAGGCATGGTGACCAGTTGAACATTGAGGGGGAGCCGGCTGGACCAGGGTTAGTGAATTGCACGACGGCGGGCCGAAGGGCGGAGTGAGTTGGCAGCCAAAGAGATGTCGGGGCGGAGGGAAAGAACTGAGGGAATCGACAGAATGAATGGGTGACGCGCGGCGAACCCTACCACGCAGCAGGCTGGATAAAAACTGATCCCCTGCGTTTAAGTGTTGCTACGCCGGCATGTGGATCCCGTATTCGGTGCGGGCATGCCTTGTGGTGATGGAGGGGAGCGGACGGGGGGCGCTAGAAATGGAAAGAAAGGAACGTGGGGGGGAATTAAAGTCGTACTCGCCCCTACATAGCAACATCGGAGTCGCCAGCAGCGGGCAGCACGGGGCGCTCGAGAGAAGAGGTCAGAGCGGGGCCAGCATTCCGGAAAGCAGTGCGTTTGGGGCACTGGTCGGAGTCGGCGTGGTGGAGACCACGGCAGTTCATGCAGCGCGCGTGAGCGCAAGGGTCTGAGGCGGCGTGATTCTCCTTCGCGCACATGGCGCACCGAGCGCGGTGCACCGATTCGAGATGGCGGCCGGCGCACACACGGCACTGGGGTGGCTTCGTACAACCTGCAGAGAGGTGGCCGAGGCCCCAGCACCTCGTACATTGCCGGAGGCGCGGCTTATCACGCCAGCGCGATGTGGTGACGGGTGTGCCAAAGGCGAAGAGGGGAGTCTGGAGGAGGGCCGTGAGGATAGAGCCATCCGGGTCTTCGAATCCGAGGACCACGGACGAGCGAGCACCGTCGATTTGCTCAGGTCGGCGTGCCCAGCGCGGAGGTTGGGTGGTACGGAGGCGGGCAAGCGCGGGGTTCTTAAGGAGCTCGGTCGACAAAGTCGACTCCGGGTGGACAGCGCCGCCTGGGGCTGCCCGTGTACTGACATTGCCAATGAGGACCCTGGACCACTTGACATCCCTGGAGATGTGGTGATCCGGGTTGAGCCTGAGGGCAGTACGGATGGTCGGGAGGTGTTCGTCAATGCGGCGGTAGGATGTGGTGGCGGGAAAGGCCAGGACGATGTTGCCAGAGGAGCTTGGGTAGGCTGCGAGTGCAGTCAGTCCTCCAGCAGTCGGAACTGCAGCCAGTGCTGCATTCACATCGCCG